CTGAACATAGGCTTCGGTATTTTGGCGACTAGTGCTGCCACAAACATCCTGGCGAACATTATTCTCATGCCTAGACATTCTGTACCTGTGCAAAAGCTATCGCTGCAGAAATTGACGAACAGGACTGTAGCGGCAGCCCGCAGAGGGCGGCAAACTGGCAATAATTTAAGCTATTCGGAACACAGTGAGGAACAAGAAAACCTATTCCGAATCTGTGAGAAGAATGAAAGAAAAAGTTACTTTTACCCGTCTATCCAACATTATAAATTTATTTACCCACCTATTTACCCCTCACAAATAGGTATCATTAATTATGTTTTCATATATTTTTTCAGTTTTTACAATTTGTTTTGCAAAACCTTTTCAGTATCTACTTAGTTTAAAAAAACATATTTTGCAATTTTTGTTTTTATGTTTTACAAAAAGAAAATTCTTTAAAAACTGAAAAATGAAAATATGGTTCGGGTTATGGGTTTTTTGTAAAACGGGTTGGGTAAAAAAAAAAAGAAATGAGTCATTTTAATCTGGTGCTGCCACATGGCACTCCATCCAAAACAGGGTTTTTTTTTTTCCAAAGTATGACGGTAGGGGTATAGATAGCCCAATAGTATAACAAGGGGTACATGTAAACAATATTTGAAAGTAGAGTGCTATATTTGGCCCTTTGCCGAATATAAATAGTGTCACACCTCCTTTTTACCTACACCCGGAAGGGTATAGGAAGTTTTTCCAATTTAAGTGACAATCGAAACGGGATTATATTATTAAAAGATTCAGAGTCGCCACTTGGGAGATTTATGGTGTCCCAAGTTACCTGTTTAAAATCCCGAATCGAGGAAAGATTGACTCTGTATTATAGTCCGCGAACTAGAAATCCGAGTAAGTAATTCTGTTAACCCGGGAGAAGGTGTTAGGCATTCCAAAGTTCCGTGGTTCTAGCACAGTCGCTCAACTGTTATTATTGGCATAATTATCTGATTTTAAAACATTTTGAACCTATGTGCAATTTTAACTTTTTAACCGTTTTTATTTAATTAATTAAAGGAAGATTGTAACGTCATTTAAAATATGTTTCAAACCATGTCACATAAATGCACCCGCAGTCCGCAACACATTTTAACAATTAATCATGCTTTATTAAAAGGATAGACTAAGAAAAGAAAGCATTCAATGCTGCTAGTTCTGATGAACTCAAGAAAGGAACACGGCAAACAATTTTTCGACATATCAGAAGTAGTACCTCATGTGTAATTAAAAATCAGATTAGAAAATGGATAGACTAGTTAGCAAATAGATATGGACAAATCATTTTTCTCGAAATCTTCATCATTAATTGAACCAAAATGACTTCACCTTGTCTTCTGGTGCTTCAAAAATCAAACTAGCTAAGTTCAAACATTTACAATAAAATACATTCTTATGCTTAACTTACCATTACAACCCAAACATAAGAGGTTTAACCCTTAATTTAGACATGAAGATCTATAGTGAAATACAAACACTTCTGAAAACTTGTTGGTCTGCTTTGAAGTCTTTTGCAAATCTGACCAGTTAATGGTCAAGTCCATGAACTACAGCCAAACATTTAGTCACTCCAGTTCTTCTCCATTATTAACTACTATAGAAAATCACTTAAACAGGCACAAGATATTATGAATGTATCTGAATAAATCACGATAAAGTCAGTAACAAAAGCAAAAAAAAAAAAAAAAAAATTAACCAAGAAAGCTTACATGATTTCACAATCATGTCAAAATAATGAAAGCAGTTAGTTCACATAGCTAAACTAACATGAGAATTCAAGCCAAATTACGTGAAAATCAGAAACTCGTTCACTCAAGACAAACGGAAATACAAGAGTGTTTGAACTTACCTATTCAAAGCAAGAAAAACACTAAGAGAAGGCCAAATTCAGATGGAGCTCAGCAACAACTTGAATAAATCAGCAGCAAACCAGCAGCAACAACTTGAGTCATAACGTTTTTGTGTGAGTGAGGGTGAGAGGTGAGATTTCATGGAGGGAGGTTGTCCGTTCTGAGGAGAGGAGCGCCGTTGGTGTCTTCAAAGAGAAAGGGAGATCTGATCTTTTTTCTTTTGTGTCTAGGTTTTAAAGATTTAAGGGAAGGGAAATGGGTATTGGGCTTGGGCCCAGGAAGTTTTGGATCAGATCTGGCTGGGTGATAATTGGCCCAATTTCACACGACAAATCTTTTTTCTAATTCTTTCTTTTATTTTCTAATTTTCCTTTTCTTTTAATTAAAATCCTACAACTTAAATCCTAGATTATCTAAAAATGTGAAATTAAACTAATTAACTAATTATAAAAATTACTTAATCCTAAATCAAAAGAGAAAAATCAATAAAAGGAAAAAGTGTAAAAATGAAGCATTTTTTGTGATTTTCAATTTTTATAAAACAAGTAACTACCAATTAATCCTAAAAATATAAAAATAAAGCCTAAATACCATGCGTGATGTTTTTTTTTTGGTATTTTTTATGATTTAAATAAAATAAACGTGCACACACAAATGCAAGCACTTAACAAAAGATGCTACAAAAATCCTCGAAATTGCAAACAATGGGAAAATTTTATTTTGTTTGAATTTATGGTATTAATTCATATAGGACAAAAACCACGTGCTTACAGCTGCCATCTTTGCTCGGAACCACGAAGAGTTTTCGTGCAAAGATAAAGTAAGCGGATACGAGCGATTTTTGCCCGTTTGAATACACCGTGGGAAGCATTTTTTGAAAGATTTGACCGCACCCTACTTCCGAGGTTGCCTACATATCCTTGGCTAAAGAGAAATCAGGTTTGTGTAGTTCGAAAAGTTTTGGTAGTTGGGACTACCATGAAGATGTGATTTCACTGTTGTTGCTGCTACTGCATACTGAACCCCTTATTACACCATGACAAAATAAAAAAAACTAGACTAGACTATGATCTATGAATTACAAGAATCCTATCTATATCTTCAAACTTGATCTTATGATTCCTGTTGCCTTTTGACTTGTATTCTCCAAGTGAAATTACTTTGTTGCCGACTTAAATTGTAATCTGAGATGCTTTTCCTTTTCTCCAGGTGGACGCCTAATTACTGAACTCGAAATGTACTCTGATATGCTTTCCCTCTCTCCAGATGGATCCCTGACTGGTGAACTTGAATTATATTCTCGTGCTCTCTAGGTGGGCACTTGACGGCTCAGCTTGAAATGTACTCCCGTACTCTCCAGGTGGGCGTCTGACTGCTGAACTTGAATTGTATTCCCGTGCTCTCGAGGTGGACTCCTGACTGCTAAACTTGAATTGTATTCCCGTGCTCTCCATATGGGCTCCTGATTGCTGAACTTGAACTGTATTCCCGTGCTCTCCATGTGGGCTCTTGACTACTAAACTTGAATTGTATTACCGTGCTCTCCAGGTGGGCTCCTAACTGCTGAACTTGAATTGTATTCCCGTGCTATCCAGGTGGGCTCCTGACTGCAGAACTTGAATTGTATTCCCGTGCTCTCCAGGTGGGCGCCTGACTGCTGAACTTGAATTGTATTCCCGTGCTCTCCAGGTGAGCGCCTGATTGCTGAACTTGAATTGTATTCCCGTGCTCTCGAGGTGGGCGCCTGACTGCTAAACATGAATTGTATTCCCGTGCTCTCCAGGTGGGCTCCTGATTGCTGAACTTGAATTGTATTCCCGTGCTCTCCAGGTGGGCGCCTGACTGCTGAACTTGAATTGTATTCCCGTGCTCTCCAGGTGGGCGCCTGACTACTGAACTTGAACTACTTCTCCCTGCTCTTCCAAGTGGGTACCTGATTTCAACAAAAATAGACAAAACAAAGAAAATTTTCTGCCCCAGTTTGGTAGTTGGGCACATATGTGAGTGTTAAACTGAATCATATTACCAAATATTACTAAGAATTTGAAAGCTAAGTTCCATTATCTAGGGGGGTCTTGACAACTCTTAACTAAGCGACAATTTTAAATCTAAGTTATATCTTTTAAAGGTGTGACTTCCGCTAAATCTTGTTATCTAAGAGGGTCTTAAACTACTCCCCATTATCCATGAGGGTCCTGAAAATCACAAGTCAAGTTTTATCTTAAGAGTGATAATTTTACGGCTAAATTATATTACCTACACCAGAACTTACGCTAAATCTTGTTATCTAATGGAAATCTTAAAGCTAAGTCCCATTATCCAGGAGGGTCCTGAAAACTCCTAATTGAATCATATATTAAACATGCACACTTTGAAACCAACTTATATTCCTTGGGGTACATTTATGCTAGATTTTGCTACTCTTGATTGTTTTGATTTTTAAACTCGGTCCCATTTTTCAGGAGGGTCCTGAAAATTTACGGTCAAACCTGTTTGGTGCCTGCCTTTCCTTACGGAGGGTTTCTCCGAAACAAATAAAATTTTCTACCCCTGTTTCAATCAAAGAAAAATCTTATTAATTTAAAAATATGGTGGTTGATTTGTGGCCTTGACTTTGAGGGCGATTGCTCCTACACTTTCCATGATCACTTTGATTTCCACTTGAAGACCTTGCTTGTTCATTGACTAACCACTTTCTCTGTCACCCTTATCACAGAAAATACCTCTTCTCCATTAAGACCCAATACCCTCTATCTGTTTCATTGCTCATAAACCACCATTTACCAAACCTTTGTGTTTCACGTGAATTCCAAAGCACGTCAATTGCCACCCACTAAGTGCATATGTTGTTCTTTCTTGACTTAAACTACGTTCTTTGGCCTTGAGGTCTGTTGCTCATTCACTTTCCAAACCACCATTTTTTATGCTTGAATCTCCAACTAACTTCGGTAGTTGTCGAGGGCCTATGATGGAACCTTTTTTTATTTAGGTATTTTAATTTTTTGAATTCCCGTCAAATATAAATAGCTCATTGAGTTGTACTTGAGAAAAAAACTTATTTCTTCTTCTATTAAATATTTCTTTTTTATTTCTTCTTCATTAGCACCTTTGTTCACTAAAAATCATACCTTCATTATTTTTTGTGCTTAAATCTCCAACAGATCTTGATGTTCTTCTGCGTTTTTGTAAGAAAGACTTAGCTCATTCCCTGTTTTTTCCAAGACTTCACTTAAATATTTATGGGCTGCATCCCATGGATGCTTAAGAAACAAAATAGAAGGTAGTAATACATACGATGTAAAAGGACATACTAAGAAATAAACAAAAACAGTCAGAACCACTAGCAACAGCTACATTTGAGTACTTTAGTTTAATCATTTCTATTTAGGTAAAGATACTTTACCAAGACACTAAAATAGAGGACATGTAAACTCTAGGTTCTAACCCCTCAAATAACTAAAATCAAGCAAGCATACAGATAAAACTTAGGCCGCAGTTTGAATTTAATCAGACGAGACTAAATGGCGAAGAAAGAGTTTGAAATTTCATGAGTAGCATAATAATGAATGACCAATAGAAACTATACAAAATCTATTTGAGGGCATTTAGCCCCAGGCTTTATACACAAAGAGAGTCCTATACCTATTAAACGAGGACCATATGTTAGGATATTCAGGTCAATATTTTTTTTTTAATTAAAGATATACAGGTTAGTGAAATTTGGGATTTTACGTTTTGAGATTTCTTCCAAAGATAACATCTTGATGAGCAATCCAAAGTGAAAGTACAATTTAAGTTTACCAGCTCTTCGTTATGGGTCCTATGCATCAACATTTCGCACTAGGATGACAAAAAGTTAAAACTTAAAAGGGGAAAAAGGTTGCTCGAGATTATGACTGACAAGTTCTACGTAGAAACTGAAATTTTTAGTTTACTGTCCACACCCCCCCCATAAGTCCCAGCAAACAAGTTTGTGGGAGCAAGCAAGCTGAAGAGATAATGAAAACAGTGCACAAGATAATAACCTGAACATAGGCTTCGGTAATTTGGAGACTGGTGCTGCCACAAACATCTTGACGAACATTATTTTCAGGCCTAGACATTCTGGACCTGTGCAGAAGCTATCGCTGCAGAATTTGACGGACAGGACCGTAGCGGCAGCCGGCAGAGGGCGGCAAACTGGCAATAATTTAAGCTATTCGGAACTCGGTGAGGAAAAAAAACCTATTATGAATTAGTGAGAAGAAAGAATGAAAAAGTTACTTTTACCCGTCTATACTACATNGAAATATTTATGAGTATAGAAAGGTAACATTCTTTTGGGGAGACTAAAAAGGAAATAATATCACATGAATTGGGATGGAGGAAGTAGTTAATTTTTTAGTGTTTCCCTCTTCAAGAGGAGGCCAATAGGTGATGACACACATACTTTTTTGCCTTGATGCCTAAATGGGAACTACGTGTCTACGTCTAAGCGTTGTGAAGCACTCCGGTTTTTGCACCTAGCTTCAAGGCTCAAGTGAAGTGAGTCTTTGATAATACTACATTATTCATCGATTTCAAAGTTACGAATAACAGATTTCTTGGTTAAGAAAAAATAATTATTTTGAACATTACATCTATATATTTTATTTCTAATTCAGTAGGTCTTCTTTCACTAAGTGGTAATGATGGAAAATGTTCTCCATTGAAAATATTTTCCTATAAAATATTTTATGAGAAAATAGGTGATTTTCTTACTTAGTTTCTCGTGTTTGGTTAGAAAGTAAAAAAAAATCTAGTGTTTGGTTAATGGGTGGAAAATAGTTTTAGGAACATAGTTTCCATGCTCCTCCCTTCGCCCCAAATCCCCCACGTTTCTATGCTCCTCACACCTACCCCAAATCTCCCACGTTTCCAGGTGTGTACTCTCATACCTTTAATTATTGAGTGTTCTAATAACAGTAAGAACTTTCACCATATTTCCATCTTTAAGTACCACTATCCATCAATGTTGAGAATAACAAATCAATGTTGTATTCAGTAGATGCGAGGTATGGGATTGCCAAATAAACTTCACATAAATATAGATAGAGTTTTACTTTTTCTAAAAATACTACAACTTCAAGTAAATGAATATACAAGAAACTGCCAGTTAAAGTACAAAAGAAGTTCTTAATAAGGGACATTAACCCACTTCACAAGCTTTTCAAAATTGTCAAAAAATATCGCCGAAAAAGGGAAGATACCTTTGTCGTTGGCGGAAAACTATAGCTGACCTGCAAAGAATAAACCCAAAACAATAGATAGAAACTGCGGCGAGTGGAGGAGGAATTTTAAAAATCCTAGACTGAAGAGGGAGTTTTGGGAAGGGGGGACCAGTACCTGGGGGCAGCGAGGAGAACCAACGTATCTTTTGATTTTCGGGAAAATGTTTTCCCTTCAATTTTTAGGGAAGTCATTTTTCCCTAATTAGAGAAAAATAAGTCATTAACGAAATCGTTTTCCAAATTATTTATATCAACCAAACATGGGAAAATGAAAAAATATTTCCACAAAACATTTTTCAACATACCAAACACACCCTAAAGCTCATGATTTTATTGTTTTTTATGCTTGAATCTCCAACTAACTTCAGTAATTGTCCAGGGCCTATGATGGAACCCTTTTTTTATTTCGGTATTTTAATTTTTCGAATTCTCGTCAAATATAAATAGCTCATTGAGTTGTACTTGAGAATAAAACTTATTTCTTCTTCTATTAAATATTTCTTTTTTATTTCTTCTTCGTTAGCACCTTTTTTCACTAATAATCATACTTTCATTGTTTTTTGTGCTTAAATCTCCAACATATCTTGATGTTCTTATGCGTTTTTGTAAGAAAGACCTAGCCCATTCCCTGTTTTTCCCAAGACTTCACTTAAATGTTTATGGGCTGCATCCCATGGATGCTTAAGAAACAAAATAGAAGGTAGTAATACATACGATGTAAAAGCGCATACTAAGAAATAATAAAAACAGTCAGAACCACTAGCAATAGCTATGTTTGAGTACTTCAGTTTAATTAGTTATATTTAGGTAAAGAAACTTTACCAAGACACTAAAATAGAGGACATGTAAACTCTAGGTTCCGATCCCTCAAATAACTTAAATCAGTCAAGCATATAGATGAAACTTAGGCAGCAGTTTGAATTTAATCAGACGAGACTAAACGGTGAAGAAAGAGGTAGAAATTTCATGAGTAGCACAATAATGAATGATCAATAGAAGAAGAAGAAGAAGAAGAAGAAGAAGAAGACATATTGTATAAATTGTAGATAAATTGTTTTCTGATTGTAGATGCTTTATTTTCTGTTTTCACAAATAAAAAATATCTAAAACTTCTACAAATCTTCTGAAAAAAGCAATTATGTCAAAAATCATAATTATGCTACAATTGGATGAGAATTGGGATATAAAAATTCAATGTACCTAGTTTATAGATATTTTGTAGCTAAATTATAGATTATTTGTATTCTAATTGTAGGTAATTTATTTTCTGTTTTTCACAAATCAAAAACGACTAAAACTTCTACAAATCTTATGCAAAAAACGCAATTATGTCGAAAATGCCAATTATGCTACAATTGAAATGGGAATTGGGATATTAAAATTTAATGTATCTAGTTTGTAGATATTTTGTAGATAAATTGTAGATTATTTATATTCTGATTGTAGATGCATTGTTTTCTGTTTTCACAAATCCAAAACGACTAAAACTTCTACAAAATCTTCTGCAAAAAACAGTCTACAATTTATCTACAATTACTGCAATATAATGTATGTCATGTCTTCTTCTTCTTCTTTTTCTTCTTTTTTTTCGAGTTTCAATCTGAAATTCAGCCAAAACCAAGTCTAAATCTTCACCAAAACCCCTCAAAATTGAGATATAAACTCCAAAACATATTCCCAATTATTTACAACAACACCCAATCAAAATAAATAATGATTTTTGAAAACCAAATTTGAATTCAAAGCTTCAAAGCTTTTTAATGACTGTCAATGGTGGAATTGCTGCTCTCTTGTCTCTTTGAAGGTTTGTTCTTCTTCATTGAGAAAATTTGAAATGAAACTGAAGGTAAATGTGTGTATGAACTTTGAAGATTTGACTTCAATTTTGATGAACTTTGTTGTTCTTCATTGATGAACTTCAACTGGAGTAAAATTGGGGACTAGATTTGTTGAAGAGTTTCTTCAATTTTCTGTGAATTTAGAGGGAGAATTTGGTTTCAGAAGATAGAAAATGATAAAAAGAACGTGGGTATGATGGATCTCTCTGGACATTTTCCAGACACCTAGGGGCAACATGTCCAGCTAACGATGGATCTCCAGTCATAACTTCACTGTCCTGCCTGGTGAACAGTTCTGCCTCATCTTCTTTAGGTTTGTGCCAAAATGTGCTTATGTTCTTTGTAGCATCAACAATCTCAGGAATCTCTGAAAGTAACTCTTTAACGAACACTGAGAAGGTCATCCTATTTTGAACACTTGATCTGTCCAATCCCAGACGTCTAGGAGGACGTAAGGTGAACTGTTCAACAGGTTAGACAAGAAAAGTTCATTACAAGAATGGCCATGCAAGGGTATACTTTTGCTCATTTTAAAAGTAAATATGGTTTCCAGCACATTATAGTACTGATGATTTATAATACTGTTACCTTTCCTAGAAAAATTTAATCCTGGAGTCAACAATACCTTTAAGAGATTTTCAGCAGATATGCCACAAACCTTCGAGATAGAACCCTGCAACGACAAGCATCATATCACCTGTTTTCCTCGGGTATTTAAGAGTTCTCACAAGTGACTATCAACTTTTAGAGCTTCAAACAAACCTCCACTAGTACCTTGAAATTTGGTGCTGCAACATCATCATTCTGAACAGAAAAAAGACTAGGAGCAGGAAAAAGCTGCGGACACAAATAATGCAGTCTTGTGGCTATTCTCACATTAGATTCTAGAATTGGAGTTGTTTCATGCTTCCTATGACAAAATGACTAAAAACCAGTGTTGATATGTAAAAATCTGAAATAATCATGAAGAGAAATTACAGACCTTGTAGTTCTTGCCATAATATGTTGGGCAGAACCAAATTTCCTCATCCATTTCTCATAAACTGGACTGCTGACAACAGTAGCAGGGCTCAAATGAATGATGCAGTTCACAACCTTGGTGGTCTCTTGGGAGTTACTTTGGGAATCTGAATAATAGGCATTAAGAGATTGTGCAGACAGTAACTCTTGTGCATGAGGTTCTGTTGGACAGTCAACAATCAGTACAATGGGACCAGGAATAGGTGGGCCTATTATATCATCTGGATGGACCTGAATGAGGCAAAATGAAAGTCAGCTGCAATTTAATAACGAGGCACAAGAACTGCAGAAACGAAGTGTATAATGTAGTTCTAATGAGTGTAGAACTGACCTCGATATCTAGAAGATCTGACTTCACACTGATACCATTTTGCAGTTGTCCAAGCTTTCTCCTCTTTTTGAGTCCGCAAGCTTTAGCCTTTCTGGGGTCAAACTCCCCTCTGATGTCATGTAGGTTACAAATATATACAATGGAGGTATCATTTGAACTAAAATGAGATCCATCCAAATGAGTAGGTGTTAGGAGAATAGCTGATATACTAACTGCCTTGAACTTGCCTTCAGCTTGCAGCTCCTCCGCATGTAGTGAGGAAGCTAGTGCAGCTCCATTTCCATGAACCATAACATTGTCACTTCGTGGGATGATATGTGCTTTGACCATGGTAGCATGAGGGACAAAATTCTTCATTGCGTTAACCAATAAATCAAGATTTGGAGGACCCCATATGTCAACCTTAAAAGACCAATAGAGATGCTTTTTAGTAAATAATAGCACCACTGTCACTTTCATTTTAATGCTAAGTATCATATGAAAATAGTAGAGGTAAGCACTGCACTGGTACTCACATGCTCAGTACTCTCAGGACTTCCATTTTGTATGCCAGCCAAAGTCAATAGCAAACCTGAGACGCAGTGGATTAGGGATCATGGGGAAAATGATTTCACGAGAGATTTGATTCTTGGGAACTGTGATAAATTGTACTCCCTCTGCTTCAATTTAGAGGATTTAATTTGACTTGGCACAAAGTTTAAGAATAAAAATAAAGTGGGTAGAGTGAAAAGTTTAAAGTTAAATTGTTTCTAAATATAGAAATGTGTCATTCTTTTGGGAACGAATTAATAAGGAAAGTGTATTATCTAGAGTGAAACAAAGGGAGTACCATATAGAAAATCAATTTAATTCTCTAAGAAAACTAAAGGGACAAAACAAAATATGGTTTAAAAGTAGTTCATTCCCCGAAGGTCAAGATGCAAACCTGGAAGTCCTCCTGCTGTCTCTGAGCAGACACGAGTGAGACATATGTGGTCTACCTGTAAATTGACAACAGTATGTTTATACAACAAAAGCAGTAACCAATTAGTTGTGTAAACTTTGAAACTGAAATTGTGCATGTGAGAGATATACCTGAGATAATTTAATCTTATGCTCAGCGCAGAAGCGTTGTAATCCCTGCAACAT